CCCCTGACCCCCCCTGACCCCTCCGCCTGCACTGAGTATGTTGGACAGAATAGTCTTTGCATGAACCTTGTTATCTAATCAACATGCTAATACTTTAAACATGTGACATTACAGAGGACAGGGGGCGCTGTGACGCTGACATTTTCATGATAACTAATGAACAATGTTACACTTTCAACATTTTTGACAAAAACTTAACGACCTCCTTGGCAGACGCCCCACGGATTGAGAACCCTTCGTTGAAGACCAATCTTCTAAGATGTCGTTTTTGAGTTTTAAACTCTGTCGTCTCCTCCTGCACCATGGTGGTGGTGTTTTTTGTTTTTACTCTGCATTCCTGATGTTTCTGGTCACATTTGGAGTTTTATTTTTTTTACTACGTTCAGTCCAGGTATTTTGACGTGTACTACTGATAGTATTGCAGTAGCTCCGTGCAGATACAGGTGATGTCGCAGTTCCTCTGTATTTTGTGTTTGTGTCAGCATTGACTGTGCCAGTAGGTGGAGCTAAGTACAAGTTTAAAGCCGTGTTTCCAGACCCACATGTGCTGTTGCAACATACGTACGTGGCCTGGCCTCGTCGTGGCCTGGATTAGCCGTGTGCTAGTACGACTGCGCTAGAACCGAGTGAATTAACGATGTGTTTGTAGCCGGAGGCTGTTAGCAAGTAGCATTTTAGCGGGAGGCTTTTCTTTTGACTCTGTTTCTGTTCAAGTTAGCCGTCCGTGGCTGGAGGCCAAGCCGAGGCTCAGCATGACTTCGTCTTTGGTCTCTACCAGCAGAGCTGAGTCCTGTGTGCTTTTCTTTCTGGTGACTGTTTGATCCGAGGACATCCTGATCAGTGTCGACAGAAAGAGGAGAAGAAAAAAAAAAAGATGTTTTTTTGTTAAAGGATCCTGTGAAGGTCAACGTTCATGTCGGTTTACAGTTAATCAGCAGAACCTCTGTGTTTGGTGTGGACGAGGAGCGTCCGTCTGAGCTTCAGTCCAGTTCTGCTGCTGCTGCTGGGCTGGAAAAGAGAACATCAGTGTAACAATGTTCAACTAGATTTCAATAAGATTTAAATTTTTCCCTTGCGGTAAATTATTTTTGTGATTTTTTTTTTAGGCATTACAATGATTCAGTTGAGGTTGACGTGAACTGAAGACTCCAGCAGTTTGTTACACGTCCACCGGCCTGTTTTGTATTTGTAGAATACCTAAGAAGTAGTGGTGCTAAAGCGGTGGTTCAGGTGACCCCGCCCTGACCCTGATGACAGGATGATTGTGTCGCAACTGATCAGAGAGTGAATGCTGGACCTGGTTGGTACGAACCACTCGGCTCTGGGCTCTTTCAGTCTGTTGTTGTTGTTGTTGTTGTTGTTGTTGTTGTTGTGTCCTGGGGAGTGAACGCAGGACAACTCGTCCGTTGACCGCTGGTCTGTCCAGGTGGACGTAGATGTCCTCAAACCGTCCGTCTCCTCTCCTGGTCCTCAGACGTGTTGTTGTTTTTGACGGTGGATGTTCCCCTCACCTGCAGCCAGACTGTCAGACGATACCAGCCGTCAATCAAACGGCAAGATTCAAATACAAATGTTGATCCAAAAACTGGAAGCTCTGCAAATGAACGAGACGTCGTCGCCTTGTCGTCAAATCAAGTTCTGACTGAAGAAGTCCGACGACTGGAGCTCAACTCCTACAACGTTGTTTTTCTGAACCTCACGACACAAAGACCAACATCATCGAGAACCGAGTGATTCAGTGAACATCAAAGTTTCTCTTTTAGCAACACAGGAAGCTCAAATCTTAATCTGTGTTTTCTCTTTCTTCTTCTTGGTGTTGGTGTGTCTAAATTATTATTAAAACATCATTATATTTTTTCTAGCTGCGGACGAAGGCCTTTGTTTTCTTCTGGTAGCCCTGGTGCACACACACACACACACACACAACACCACGCCCATTGACAGAATAGTCTTTGCATGAACCTTGTTATCTAATCAACATGCTAATACTTTAAACATGTGACATTACAGAGCACAGGGGGCGCTGTGACACTGACATTTTCATGATAACTAATGAACAATGTTACACTTTCAACATTTTTGACAAAACCTTAACGACCTCCTTGGCAGACGCCCCGAGGATTGAGAACCCTTCGTTGAAGACCAATCTCTAAGATGTCGTTTTTGAGTTTTAAACTCTGTCGTCGTCTCCTGCACCATGGTGGGGTTTTTGTTGTTTCTTTTTACTCTGCATTCCTGATGTTTCTGGTCACACTTGGAGTTTTATTTTTTTTTACTACGTTCAGTCCAGGTATTTTGACGTGTACTACTGATAGTATTGCAGTAGCTCCGTGCAGATACAGGTGATGTCGCAGTTCCTCTGTATTTTGTGTTTGTGTCAGCATTGACTGTGCCAGTAGGTGGAGCTAAGTACAAGTTTAAAGCCGTGTTTCCAGACCCACATGTGCTGTTGCAACATACGTACGTGGCCTGGCCTCGTCGTGGCCTGGATTAGCCGTGTGCTAGTACGACTGCGCTAGAACCGAGTGAATTAACGATGTGTTTGTAGCCGGAGGCTGTTAGCAAGTAGCATTTTAGCGGGAGGCTTTTCTTTTGACTCTGTTTCTGTTCAAGTTAGCCGTCCGTGGCTGGAGGCCAAGCCGAGGCTCAGCATGACTTCGTCTTTGGTCTCTACCAGCAGAGCTGAGTCCTGTGTGCTTTTCTTTCTGGTGACTGTTTGATCCGAGGACATCCTGATCAGTGTCGACAGAAAGAGGAGAAGAAAAAAAAAAAGATGTTTTTTTGTTAAAGGATCCTGTGAAGGTCAACGTTCATGTCGGTTTACAGTTAATCAGCAGAACCTCTGTGTTTGGTGTGGACGAGGAGCGTCCGTCTGAGCTTCAGTCCAGTTCTGCTGCTGCTGCTGGGCTGGAAAAGAGAACATCAGTGTAACAATGTTCAACTAGATTTCAATAAGATTTAAATTTTTCCCTTGCGGTAAATTATTTTTGTGATTTTTTTTTATACATTACAACGCTTCAGTTGAGGTTGACGTGAACTGAAGACTCCAGCAGTTTGTTACACGTCCACCGGCCTGTTTTGTATTTGTACGGCACAAACTTTGGCTCAGCTATTTACACTGTGCACTAACCTTTGTGATACTTGCCAGCTAAGAGGGTCATGAACATCTACCTGGGATACCGTAGATCTGGGGTCCCAAACTCCTGGCTTGGGGGCCACTTCTGGCCCACAAACTCCCAACATCTGGACCTCAACTAGATTTCAATAAGATTTAAATTTTTCCCTTGCGGTAAATTATTTTTGTGATTTTTTTTTTATGCATTACAACGCTTCAGTTGAGGTTGACGTGAACTGAAGACTCCAGCAGTTTGTTACACGTCCACCGGCCTGTTTTGTATTTGTAGAATACCTAAGAAGTAGTGGTGCTAAAGCGGTGGTTCAGGTGACCCCGCCCTGACCCTGATGACAGGATGATTGTGTCGCAACTGATCAAAGAGTGAATGCTGGACCTGGTTGGTACGACACACTCGGCTCTGGGCTCCTTCAGTCTGTTGTTGTTGTTGTTGTTGGTGTTGTTGTTGTTGTTGTTTCCCGGGGAGTGAACGCAGGACAACTCGTCCGTTGACCGCTGGTCTGTCCAGGTGGACGTAGATGTCCTCAAACCGTCCGTCTCCTCTCCTGGTCCTCAGACGTGTTGTTGTTTTTGACGGTGGATGTTCCCCTCACCTGCAGCCAGACTGTCAGACGATACCAGCCGTCAATCAAACGGCAAGATTCAAATACAAATGTTGATCCAAAAACTGGAAGCTCTGCAAATGAACGAGACGTCGTCGCCTTGTCGTCAAATCAAGTTCTGACTGAAGAAGTCCGACGACTGGAGCTCAACTCCTACAACGTTGTTTTTCTGAACCTCACGACACAAAGACCAACATCATCGAGAACCGAGTGATTCAGTGAACATCAAAGTTTCTCTTTTAGCAACGCAGGAAGCTGAAATTTAAATCTGTGTTTTCTTCTTCTTCTTCT